TGGACTTCAGCTAGTTCTACCATGTTTCCAGCTATTTGGGTTGGAGGAGGTTGGTGTTTACACAACCCTAAATTTGGAGTGTATTATCTTTCCCTAGGTAAAGAAAGCTGTGTACCAGCTAGGTTGTTATAGGTTTTTTGGGTTGTATGACCATGTTCTAGGAATATTCTCTCCTGATGTTTCGCTTGGATCTATGGCAGGCATCCTCCGAGGTTGTAAGGTCCTCACAACCTCTGAGGAAGCCTGCCATAAATCCAGGCGAAACGTCCGGAGAGAATACTTCTACAGCATGGCCATACAGATTGAAAAACCTACAACAACCCAGTGATTCCGGCCATGAAAGCCTTCAACAATACATGTGTACTAGCTTTTCCCAATCTGATGTTCTCTAAATGTGTTGGATTGAAATCCCAGCATCCCCAGTCAGCATGACAAAGCTGGCTGGGGAAAATTATAGTGTGATCCAACACATCTGGTAGGTGAGGTCAATGGTGTACAGAAGACTGAATATTTATATAACTATTTAGTTTTTTAAATATTCACATCCAGTCCTATATTGTAAGGTTTCATAAAGTGGTGTAGAATAAAAGTAACTTAAGCAATCTAAAACATTCTTTAAAAAATTAAAATAGCAATATTGGTAATCAAATACATGTTTATGCAATAGCATCAAATTAACATTTCTAATCTGTGGTCTTGAAAACAAATCCTGCACTTGCCTATTTATCTTTGTTTGGTAAACAATGTTTAAAACTATAGCATTTTAATACACCTACTTGCTGATTCCTACACAGCCCATGATGTTACATATGCATTACCTGTATGGCGACATAAACAAATCTCAAATTATGCTGAGGTCTGTTCTCCAAACAACACTGTTGATGCAATGTTCCTAATGATTTAATTTTGTTTTGAAACATAACCCAAGGGAAAAGGTGATGCAAAGGCCTGATGCTTCGGTGGTTGCTCATAATGGTATCTCTGCTATTTATGCTGAGTATGCAAGGTTATTTGCAAGGAATTATCAGCAAACAAGCCTTGAAGACAAAGAGTTCTGCAAGTCTTCAGAATATGATCTAAGTGATATGGCCAAGACTCCAGGTCACCTTTCAAACTGTCAAGAGACAGGAAGATCTTAAATGGCCATTTTTCTAAATTCTTTGGCAATTTTGTTGAAGTTTGCACAAGTCTCAGATTCCATCTTCACAGCATTAGGTTTCCTCATATATATGCAGCTAGCTTCTGTGATTTGAAACTATTTTAGCAAATTACCTATACCATTCTTTTTGTTACAACATTCCATTTGACAGCAGCATTTCAGGTAAGTTCTAGATTCAGAATTATTAATGTTATAGAGCAGTCGAAATGCAAAAAAAAAAAAGGTAAATGGGAATATTTTCCTGAGTTCATCTAAACCGCTGCTTTTTAAAATGTGGGTTCCAGACAGAAATGGGGTTCCCTTAGTTCAATGTATGGGTCAAGAAAAAAATGGCAACAGTAAAAGGTTTCTGAACACGACACATTTGCACAAATCTGACAGCAACAACATGCAGTGGAGTCTGAAAAAAATGCTTCAGCTGTATTCAACAAAAAGCAAAATCGGCCTGTTTAACAAGCCTTGCAAATGCTGATTGAGTATCAGTAAATGTTTGGTTTTTATAACTATTTACTATAGATTAGCTATAACTATTTATATACCTGGGGTCACGTTAAAATTTCTCTGTCAGAAAGAGATTGCAAGTGGGAACAGTTTAAAAAGCCCTCTTCTTGATAGCATAATTGATCATGTTGATTGAATCTCTTGGAATATAAAAAACGGCTTATCATAATGCTGTGTTATTAAACACATATTAGAGATATCAATTCCACTATTCTTTTTTGAATCAGTACAATTTAGAGTTGCCAGGAATGCAAGAAATCCAGGAATGCGAAATTCAGTGTCCGAGTTGATCTAAAGGCAACACCTTTTAGGCATTTGTTGGATCCATGGTGTATGTTTATTGTTGTTTTTCAGCTTTGTCAAGGTGCTTGCTTGTTTTTACTACTCCACCTTTTCAATGCAATATTGAATTAGCATTTTGGAGATTCAGATTCAGGTATCCACTAATCCATTGACTTCATGACACACAATTAAATGTTTCTACACACTTAAAAAACTGCCATCAACGATGCCCTTCACACGATGCAAGCTTCAAATGTGGGGCGGAGGTATCTTGCGATTTCTAAAGTGTGGGTTTTTCCCACAATTCCTGAGTCAATTGGAAAGTAACTTCTTCCTCAATTTCCTATGTAGTGACATGTAAAAACAGCCAATTTAACATATAATGGGATAAGAATCTATTCTTTAGAAACTCACATTTCTTCTCGTTGGCTATCCGCCTTCTTAGTCAGCTTGTTTTGGTGCTCTTTAAAATAAGCGGGGCTGGCAGTTATTGTGGATCCTTTCGGGTCCGCTTCCCACGGAGTGGTCCGTTAGTCCTCCAACGTTCCCGGACCCTCTCAGGACCTCTCCTTTGAGGGGGGATCCCACTGGGGTCTTCGGGGTCATGTTTGCCGGACACTGCAACACTTCCGGGTATCAATCCACCAGGAGTGTGTGAGCCGTGGCTCTACCAAACCTTTCTATGTGGTTGGGTTGCTAAGAGCTCTTAGCAGCCCCTGCCTACCACCATTGCTGCTCACCGGAAGTCCCTTCCCCCCCTTTTAATAATTTTTTTCTTAATATCAATAAAATTATTTTTAAAAAAACGTATGATGGGATTCCCCTCTTGCTTGTTTGCAAATAAAATGATGATGTTGTCATGGAAGGAGGAATCAAGGTGGGCAGAATGGATTCCTTACTGTCACCATTACCCTTTTGGGACTGAGGAAGTATGTTGTTGTTGTTCATTCGTTCAGTCGTCTCCGACTCTTCGTGACCTCATGGACCAGCCCACACCAGAGCTCCCTGTCGGCCGTCACCACCCCCAGCTCCTTCAAGGTCAGTCCAGTCACTTCAAGGATGCCATCCATCCATCTTGCCCTTGGTCGGGCCCTCTTCCTTTTACCTTCCACTTTCCCCAGCATAATTGTCTTCTCTAGGCTTTGCTGTCTCCTCATGATGTGGCCAAAGTATTTCAACTTTGTCTCTAGTATCCTTCCCTCCAGTGAGCAGTCGGGCTTTATTTCCTGGAGGATGGACTGGTTGGATCTTCTCGCAGTCCAAGGCACTCTCAGCACTTTCCTCCAACACCACAGTTCAAAAGCATCTATCTTCCTTCACTCAGCCTTCCCTAAGGTCCAGCTCTCACATCCGTAGGTTACTACAGGGAATACCATGGCTTTGACTATGCGGATCTTCGTTGCCAGTGTGATGCCTCTACTCTTTACTATTTTATCGAGATTGGACATTGCTCTCCTCTAAGTGTCTTCTGATTTCCTGGCCACAGTCTGCATCTGCAGTAATCTTTGCGCCTAGAAATACAAAGTCTGTCATGGCCTCCACATTTTTTCCCTCTATTTTCCAGTTGTCAATCATTCTTGTTGCCATAATCTTGGGGTTTTTTATGTTTAGCTGCAACCCAGCTTTTGCATTTTCTTCTTTCACCTTGATTAGAAGGCTCCTCAGCTCCTCCTCGCTTTCGGCCATCAGAGTGGTGTCATCTGCATATCTGAGGTTGTTAATGGAGGAGGTATAGCAAACAAGATATTCAAATCATTCAGGAGAAAATAGCAAGCATGCAAATCCTGCGCTTCATGTCTCTGTACCCTTAGCAGACTCCCTCTTTCAGCTCCTTCTTCCTGTGTTGGGTCATAAAAGTCCTTTTAAACTTTTGCCCGAAACTCCTGCTGTGCTGCTTTTGTCTATCAAAAGGACAGCAGAGACAGAGATTTAAGAGAGCTAAAGTTTCATCCCCCCCTCCTTCCTCCCGTAAGAATGCAAGAATAACCCCTCTATATATTTTGTTGTTTTTCCGAGAGAGAAGTTAAACAAAGAAAAGAAAATGGGAGAGGAACAGTGAGGGAAACAAGTCTTTACTTTGTCATGGCATATCAAACAGAAAGCAGAGAGAAAGATTAGGTGTGATGGAGGTAGGAAAATCTTCCATTTAATTTCAAAACGGAGTATGCCGAAGCTTTATGGAAAATCTGCTCTCCCAAACACTTGACCTTTCCTGTGTGATGAAGTCCTATAAAATTTATTTATTTATTTATTTGCTGTATTTGTATGCCGCCTTTCTCATCGGCGAATCAAGGCGGTTTCCAACAAAACAGTATACTCAGTATCATAGAACATTTTAAAGCATTTCAATTACAAAAACCACAACAACAATAAAAACAACATCATCAGTGTCTCCTTATTGTCAAGCATTGTCCAGTTCCATCGTCAATCGTCCATTCCTATATCATTTATCCATGTCCGTTACTCTGTGTTTGGGAACGCTTGCTCAAACAGCTATGTTTTGACTTGCTTCCGAAATGTGAGGAGGGAGGGAGCAGATCTAATCTCTCTAGGGAGGACATTCCATAGCCGGGGAGCCACTGCTGAGAAGGCCCTGTCTCTCGTACTAGAGACGGAGGCGGGACCGAGAGCAGCGCCTCCCCGGACGATCTCAAGGTCCTTGATGGTTCATAAGGGGAGATACGTTCGGACAGGTAAGTTGGTCCAGAATCGTTTAGGGCTTTATAGGCCAAGACCAGCACTTTGAATTGGGCCCGGTAGCAACCAGTGGAGTTGACTCAACAGAGGAGTAGTATGCTCCCTGACAGCCGCTCCTGTTAGCAATCTGGCTGCCGTTCGTTGGACTAATTGAAGCTTCCGGACTGTCTTCAAAGGCAACCTCACATAGAGCGCATTGCAGTAGTCTATACGGGATGTAACCAGTAGTCTATACGGGATGTAATCCACAGGGAAAGTCAGGAAAGATAAAAGCTATGTTTGCTATCTTGAGTTCATTGATGTAAAGTTGAGATATGAATGTAACTAATAAATGAAAAAAATTTTTTTAAATAAAACCAAGGACATAATTATTAAAGTGGAAATGGAGAAGCTGAAAAATCCAATGACCAGCCCCTTCAAAGGAAAGGACATCACAGCTTTGGCTTGGAAACTGAAACATGTGGCTTTGGACACTCCTCTTCAGTTCAGCGCTCTGGCCTTGAGGCCCCAATCGAAGAGCACTGCTCGGTTTGGCAGCCTCAGCCATCACTCTTTCTTCTCCCGGCATAATCCCCACCCGCAACGAGTGACTCATATCCAAGGTAACCATTCAGAACTGCTAATCATTTATTTATTTATTTATTTATTTACAGTATTTATATTTCACCCTTCTAACCCCGCAGGGGACTCAGGGCGGATTACAATGTACATATACATGGCAAACATTCAATGCCATAGACACACAACATATACAGACAGACACAGAGGCAATTTAACATTCCAACTTTTCATGAGGGTATTCTGGCCACCAGGGGAACTGCTGCTTCACCGTCCATTTGTGACACTGATGAAGTACTTTCTCATTCTTTGCAGGCTTGCTGGAGACTTTTATGGCATCGTAAATTAGTTAAATTAGCCTCCCCGTGTAGGTGGTACCTAAATTTCCTACTTGACAGATGCAACTGTCTTTTGGGCTGCAAAGGTCGACAGCAAGCTACACAAATTGGTCAGACACTCACTCCGACCCGGGCTGGCTTCGAACCCATGACCTTTCGGTCAGTAGTGATCCTAATGCAGCTGACTCCCAGCCAGCTGCGCCACAGTCCCATGTCTATGGTTGACAACCTTGGTTTTTGAGAGATTTGAAAGTTTATGCTTTTAGCTTTCAGAAGCTTCCTAACAGTAAGGGCATTGCCTCTGTGGACTAGAGCAATCAGAATTGGAGTCTCCAAAGTTTTCCTAGCTCTGCACTTACCTGGGAGCATGATCCATTAATTATAGTGGGACTCTTACAATGAGTTCATTGCTTAATCGGCTGTTGTATTTTTATAGCTAGTGAGAGATGTTGCGGGCTTTTCTACCTTGGAAGCTCAAATAATTGGAGGACATCTACATGAACCATAAATCCCAAATTGGATAAGAAATCGGAGGTTTTTTTTGTTTTTGTTTTTGTTTTTTGTTTTTTGTTTGGGTTTTTTTTGTCATGTCAGGAGTGACTTGACCAAGTAATTGGTAATAATATGATAGCTGGGTCCGGAAGCTTTGAGCGTTACAGAGATGCTGCATCGTTCCTTCGGGAGTGCTCTTTGTGCAAGACAGACTTAGCTAATGTAAGCCAGCCTGGAGACAGATAATATAGAAGGAATGTAAGAGTTCTTTAAGGTGAAACCCTAACCCTTACCCTAACCCTGAACCGTATGCTAAGTCTAAGAATAATCCCTTACCCAAACCCTTATCCTAACCCTTACTTTAACCCAAACCCAAACCCTAAACCTTGCCCAAACCCTTACCCTAACCCTTACCTTAACCCAAACCCTAAACCTTGCCCTAACCCTTACCCTAAGCGTCCCCTCCTTTCTATCCTTCCTTCGCTCTCCCTGCTCTCACTCCGCCCACTCTCTTCCCTTATTCACAGCCGCCTTTGCGGTCCGTAACGCTCAGAAGTTCCTGACCCAACTATCATACTATCACCAAGAAATCATTCCTAAGCATCTACACCAGGGGTCCACAAACTTTTTAAAGAAAAGGCCAAGTCACAGTCCCTCAGACTGTTGGAGGGCCAGATTATAATTTGAAAAAAAAATGAATGAATTCCTGTGCACACTGCACATATCTTATTTATAGTGCAACCCCCCTCCCTTAAAAACAATACAATAATTAAAATGAAGAATAATTTTAACAAATATAAGCTTATTAGTATTTCAATGGGAAGTGCGAGCCTGCTTTTGGCTGATGAGATAGAATTGTTCTTGTTGTGTGCTTGCAAGTCGTTTCAGACTTAGGTTGACCCTGCGCGAGGGCTGGGTAAATGACCTTGGAGGCCCGTATCTGGCCCCTGGGCCTTAGTTTGAGGACCCCTGATCTAGACAAACTGCAGAGAGTTCTGGATCCTAATGCAGGGCAAAACCAGTTAACCTGATTTGATCCCATGTTAGCAAAAAATGGTGTATAGATATTTCCCTGAAGCTCCGGAGCAGCCCTACACTTCAGTGTTGTTGTGAAGAGCTGGACTGGCTTTAATTTGGAAACAGTCCAACTCTTTATATGGACCAGTGCTGCCATCCTTCTCTCCTGAGCTCCACAAACACACATCTAGGAGTCTCAGCTAAGGGAATACATCAGAGAGAAATAATTGAAAGAGATCAAGGAAAGAAAGAGATCAAGGAAAGAATTTGGGAGGAAAGGTTAGATTCAATTAGCAACAATGGTGCCGTTGCTACTTTATGATGCCATTTTGGAATCTTTCCAAAGTAAAACGAAGTTGCCCCAAGCTCACTGATTTTTAACAAGGTGAGGTGTTGCTTTAAAAAACATTTTTTACACAGAACTGGGAAAAGTGTATTTTGCAGGAATTGTCATATCTATATTCCCTGAGGATTTTGTTGTTCTGTACTTTTGAATTGCTTATGATTTATAGCAACCCAAGGCAAACCTATTGTGGCTGGTTTGGGGTTGTTTTTGCAAGGTTGCAAGATTTGTTCAGAGGAGCTTTACCTTCCTCTGAGGCTGAGAGATCATGACTTACTGTTGAGATTAACTTCACAATTCAGCAGCAGATCAGTTGCACAACTTCAGCGCTTTCCAGTAGCTTCTTCCTGCACAGTATTTTCAGTCAACTGCTCCCACAGCCTGCAGTCACTCTGGAACCTTTTACAGACACTTGAGCACATGCCTGGCCATTGTCAGTTTTACCGGTCTTTCCCCCCGTCTAGATGACATTACAAACTTACCACAGCATACAGTTATATCTTGTCTAAGCAGACAGGTTCTTTTAATTACATATAGCCTTCGACGAACAACATAACAGCACAAGGAGAAATATACACTGTACATGACTTCCTTATATACAATTCTATACAATTACACATAGCAATCTCTGATTGGTTCCCAATCATTAACTTAACTCAGACCTAGGAATACATCATTCACAATCACCTGGACTAGGCCAGAACACATTCCCCAAATGATTCCCTATATACAGTTAATGCATGACTCAGCATTTCCAATAGAAGCCCATTAGCAATGCATGACTCAGCTGTATTACATTACAATACATTGTAAAACCTGACACTTACCCAAGGAGAGTTTCTGTAGCGAAGCAGGAATTTATACCCAGGTCTCCAGAATCCAATAACCAAACCACTACGTAATGCTGGCACTCATCCTGAGAATTATAATCCCCAAAAGGCTTTTTTTTCCCAATCTCTAATTGTACCATGAGTTTCTGTCCTACCAGAAGCCTAGATATGTCTCTTCTGTTTGCAGGCTTGAATGGTGCTCCTGTTTGCACAGTTAATGATGAATGGACCATTCTTCCACCACATCCACATCCAATGATAAAAAGTCAGATCTGTACTTCTGTTTTGGGGGTTCATGGGATCCAAAGGCCTATTGGAGATCCACAGCCTATTCCAGTCCCCAGGCTATCAATAGGTAAGTACACAATGCATATTATTCAATCTTTCTTCTCAATATATGGCCTCCACATTTGTTCTGTCGCGCGCTGGACCTGTAAAAATTGTCTGTAGAACTGGACGTGCAACCTTTGCCCAGCGGGAAGCCAGGGGGCCCAAGGAGAAGTTCTCAGAGGTTTTCCACCACAAATGATCTTTAGATGGCTTGTGAAGTATAACAAAGTCCTTTATTAATGAACAATCAAACAGAAACTTCTCTTGTCTTCAATAAAGCTAAACAAATGCTTCCAGGCTTTATGTAACTGGTGACTTCCTAAACTTGCCCACGAAGGACAGGCAACTGTCTTCAATAACTTCTTCTTTACTTTAAAGGAAAATCCCCTTTTTAACTTCTCCCAGCCTGACTGTAATCTAACCCTTACTGATGTGGGCTCCGCTACCGGGTCGAACTGCGTCTCGAAGCACCGAGTGGACCTACCAGTAAAGGCTTAGATATTCTCCATCTGGAGTTCTTTGGTCTTTAGGGCTGTTTTCCTGGAACTCTTTGGAGACTCTTAAGACTGTTTTCCCCCAGAAAGTCTTAAGGGTTGAAGCTTTTGTACAGGGGACGCTTGCACACGCCCTGTACATTAGCTTTCCTTACTGAGACTAATTGAAAATGGCTCCCTTCCCTTCCCAATTGCCCTGAGCAAGGGGCGGGACCAAAACTTAACGATGATGGACAGGTGACTTGCCCTATGACTGCAACCAAAGGAAGCCACCTATCTGCAGAGTCCCTGAAACCTTGGACTGTAAGCAAACATTTAATACAAAGCAAATAAAATTGGAGCTCCCGGTACAGCCGTACCAGAACAACATTAAATGTTATAAGGGGCAAAGAACACCCATGAAAGTGAAAAACTGTGAATAAAGAAATTGCTATGATTTTTACCTGAAAGAACACTTCTCTAGCAATTTCTAGGTTTTCCAGCATGACTCTGGTCAACTTCTGCTTGAAGCCGACCACAGAATCATATTGGAGGACCAGAGATTCTTGGAGAGAGGTTCTCTCTAGAAATCTCTAGATCCTCCAGCATGACTTGATGAAGTTAACCAAAGAGTCAAACTGGAGAAACTGGCCCTAGAGATTCCTAGAGAGAGCCACACAGTCGGACTTCCGGTGTGGAGTTATGGCAGCAAGACGGAGGTTCTGAGAGCTCCTCGAACCTCAGCTTCTCGGCTTGACTAGGTGAGCGGTACGCTCCCCCCCTACCTGGCGGATGGAGGCTGGGAAGGGCGCGAACCCATAGGGGTGTCAGCCGATGGTCTAGAGTCTCTTCACCCCTCAAGGGTGGGGAGCCGAGAGACCCGGTAGTGACCCCCGCAGGGTAGCGAGTCGCCGAAACCGCGAGCCGGCTGCCGGTTTGGCAGCATCCGGCACTTTGACGCCATCCACTCTTTTAAATACCAATGGGATAAGCAGCACAAATGTAAGTACAAAATCCTGTCTACTACTGGTATTGCAAATGCTGAGTCAGGGAGAGCACTACAAGAAAATGGGAGAAATAAACATGCCCGACAAATAGAGGTCAGCCGGGCCGAACAGCTGAAAAACTGACGAACCGATAGCTGAGGGCGCGGCGGGAGATCCAGCAAATTGATAAACCAGGAAGTGGCCAGAAGCTAAAAAATCACGACGTTTAGCGCATCTATATTGGGAGACTGTTTGGATATACCGGATGGTTTGGATTGTTCGAATTGTTTGGAGGTCAGGATATATTGATGTATTGATTCATACCTCAACACACTGGGAAATGAATTCCCCTTTCTATGAGACATACTCCGGACTGGATTGGGCCGTGTGTTGGAGTTAATGACTACTGCAGACGGGTCTGACGAATAGACCTGGGGTACAGGTGAAGGATTGGTGCCTTGGAACCCTGAACCCTGAAGAGTGACCCGAGGAGACCCCAGTGCACGGAGACGCTCTGTGAAGTCAGTAGTTCCCCCCTTTCCGGTTTTCCTACGCCTACGAGACCCCACCCTACATCCTATTCTTTTTACTCCCCTAAAGACCAAGAGCAAAGGGTGAAAAGACCAGAGAGGAGCGGCGGACATAGGAAATTGATAGGGGAATGAACAGGGCATGAGCAGGTCGAGTAGTAACCACCGGCACAATAGCCAAGACCACACGAGTGGCTTAAGAGCTCATTAGCCCAAAGCGGAGTTCCCCCTGCTAGCAACTTTGCTAACTCCGCTGATTAAAGCTGACCAATTTGATGTAATTAACGCTTACCTTGGAGTCAGCTGAGCCACGCGCCCTCTGTGCTACATTGTCCAGCAAGAGCACAGGGGGAGGGACAACGAAGCAACGCGAGAAGACGCAGCCAACCTCGGGAGAACGCGAGAAGAACGCGAAAAGAAGCAAGCAAGCAGAACGCCGCGAGATTTAGGACAGAGACTGGACTCGAGAGGAACAGGAAAGAAGAAGGAAGGATAAATCCCCAAAAAGAGGACTCTTGAACACCCAGCGGGAGCAAACAAGAAAGAAAGACACCCAAGGAGAGCTAGCTGAGCAGGACGGCGAGTGAGTTAAAAGGAAAAAGTAAGAAAACCTAAACAGACTACGATAGTAGGTAGAGACACTTGACGGAACTTCTAGAGAGGGGGGCTCAAACTATTTAATCTAAAGGTGACTGAAGAAAGGAAGTTAGGGGAATTACGAAACCCCAGAAGATATTGAAGGATTCGACTGCTTAAATATAGACTGTCCGTGTGTTAAACTATTAAATGTTTATAACTTTGTAATTTTTTACAGGATACGAAGGGCGATAAGAGGGAGGGAAGTGGTGGGAGGTGGGAGGCGGAGGGTGGGAGGTGAGAGGAACCACAAGAAGGGAAAGATTGAATGGACAGCAAAAGGCATCTCATGGTACAGATTATAAGGTGTACATAGAATAAAGATAAGAGACTCAAGGAAAAAACATATGTAAAGAAAGGAGTGGGGGTAAAGAAATTTTATAAAGCAAATTGTGGCACGTGGAAGTTCAAGAGAAGGTTTAAGGAAGAACAAGAAGGGAAAAGATAGACATCCCCTACCCCTCATTCGAACCCTACCGCCTTCCTCCCCAAGCCAACTTCCCCCTTACGATAATAATACATACATAATCATACAGACACACTGTCTTTCCCATCCGACTCTCCCCCCCCTATCACCCCCCTCGCACATCTTCCTACAAATTTAGAATAGAGAACGCTACACACTAGATAAGCAACACGTGGCGACCCCTTATAATTAAAACAAAGTAGATACCCCTCAGTCAAACTGAGAGTCTCAGCTACACCGCCCCCCTTCCTTCCCTCCCGAAGAGGACTATTAATAGATCGGTGACGGTAAACTAAAGAAAATAAAGATGACAACACTCAAAAATAAGGGGGAGAGAGGAGGTGAAAAAGGAGATAAAGACAAGGACAAGGAGGGGGAGAAGAAGCTACCACAACAACCAGGGACCCCAAATTTGAACAAAAAAAATTCTATATCAGAAGATGCCACCATGAAAGAAATCCTAAAGGGAATTCAAGGCATCTCGGCAAAGCAGGACGCCCATCAGGAAGATTTGAAAAAACTGTCTGAGAAACAGGATGCACATCAAGAAGAACTAAAGAAAATGCGAAAGGAAATGACGGAGGAACTAAACATTATGAAAAAGGACATCCAGACGTTTCAGCAAGAAATGAAAGAAATGAAGAAGGAAAAACAGGACATGACACACAAACAAGAGCAATGTGAGAAGAAATTGGAAGAATTGGCAGGCAAAAGCACTGTGTTAGAACGACAGCAGGAAAGACTAGAAGCGAGTGAATTGGAATTCCAGCTAAGATACAGGAATATAATAGAGGAACCGCAAGAAGACATCAGGAAAATTGTGATTGAAATAACGGCTAAATTAATGGAACAACCAGAGGCAGACTTAGAAAATCAGATTGATCGGGTGTACCGCATCTCTACTAATTATGCGAAGAGGAACAAAGTGGATAGGGACGTTCTAGTCCACTTTACGAAAAAAATGACTAGAGATGGGATCCTTAAGAGGAACAACCAGGGTCAACCCACATATAAAGGGAAGAAAATTATTATCCTGAAGGAAGTACCCTCCTCCACACTCCTTAAGAGGAAAAAATACCTCTTCCTAACAGAGGAATTGAAGAAACTTAATATAAGATTCCGATGGGAGAGATCAGAAGGCGTGATGGTATCATACAGAGGAGAACGCTTTTGGTTGACATCGGAGGAAAAAGCACAAAACTTCTACAAAAGACTGAAAAAGGAATCAGAAAATAATACAACTCTAGATTATAAACAAGGAGTGAAAAGGGCAAGACTGACATCACCAGGAGGAACATCTTACAGTAGAGAGCTGAAGGGTTGGGAACCAGAAGCAAAGGAAGGGAAGAACAAAAATGAGGAAACAACTAAAATTAATGATGGAGTGGAACATTAAATGTATATCAAACAACATCAACGGGATAAATTCCCCTAATAAGAGAAAGATGATATTTAATAGCTTAAAGAAAGGGAAATACGATGTAATCTCACTCCAGGAAACACACATTTCCCAGAAACACGTGTCACACCTCACCCAGAAAGGTTTCAAAGTCTTTTATTCCTCAGCGCCGGAAAAAAAGAGAGGAGTAGCCACATATGTAAGAGAACCCATAATAGCAAAACAGGCGTTCAAAGATACAGAGGGTAGAATATTAGGGGTTACTATTGAAAGAGAAGGGATGACTTTACTTATATGCAATGTTTATTTGCCAAATGATGCTAAAAGTAAATGTGTAAATAAACTGATAAGCTTTTTGTTAGAACAAGAATATGATGAATTGATTCTTCAGGGGGATTTCAATGGCGTTGTGGACATTGATCTAGATAAAAGTGTAAGAGACAACAAAAAGAAGAAAGAGAGAGGAGGGAAAATTCCAGCAAGTTTAATTAAGATGCAAAAAGACCTAGGCCTACAGGACGTGTGGAGGACTTAT